CTCTTTTTGAGTAAATGGCAAAAGTTACTCTTAAAGGAAACCTCCACCAAACTAAAGATAAGAGGACTTAGGAACATGTGGCTTTGAAATGAAGATATTTAGTGGGTTCCACTCAAACTACCTGAGGTGGGGAAATCCCACAATAATGAATTTAGGTTCTTTAGAGCTTCCCCCTTTGGTTGAGAAATTTACTAAAAGTACCCTTCTATCCTTACAAAATCAATTAAAATTTCCTTAAATTTCCCAACATGGTGCTTGGGACTACACCATATAACAATGCATCCACAAACACCATGACTTCATTTTTTTTACCTTGGGTACGTTTAGAAAATAAAATATTCGCGTGAATAAAAAGATTCGAAGAGGCCCAAGATATCTCGTTTTTTGTACAATCTCAGATTTGTTTTATATAAATTCAAACAATAGTCATGGTCCTTTGAAAAAGTGAGATTTTTTTGAGCTATAACTTGGTAGATGTGATCAGGATGGAGGACAATGGGCATTGAGTTTCTCCCTCATAATTTCCTTATTTTCTTCCCCATAATTTCCTCGTATAAGGATGAGAAGCCAGTAAAAAGTTCCATGCTTATATAAATAGCATTCAGTTTCTTAATGGAAAGTGTGGAAATCAATTAATAAATGCATGCATGTTTTAATTGGTATAATTGTTGATCTCTCTTTCTCTTTCTCTCTCTCTCTCTCGAAGTTCTAAGAGTCGCACGAGTTATTCAGAATCGGCAAGGTGCCTAGTCGGAGCAGGAACCTGACAAACTCGGCATGTTCATGCATTTTGGTATTATAACTTGTATAGACTCGGCTAAGTCTCTCACAAGCCCAGGCAAATTTGTGTGGGTGACTCGGACTCGGGACCTGTCAAGTCCTAGGCCCGACCTTGTTTTCAGCATAGAAAATGGTTTGACAGAGCTACAACTCTATCAAAATAAATAAAGCATCACCTCATAACCCATTGAAAATTGCAATTCAAGCATTAGAAAACCTTTATATCAATCATCTTGACTTGAACATTATGTTTGTGAAAAAAAAAAGATTTCAAGCTCTAAAAATAGTGTATATTGTAACAAATTATCTGGATCGTCCATTTTGCCTTAAAAATAAGTATTCATAGATCCGGAAGAAATATACCATTTTTTTAGTTTCGAATTTTATTGTCGGTACTGAAAATTCACTTTAGAGCCATCATGGAGAATTCCGTTGCCGAAAGTACTTTCCAGATGAGCATTTGAGGTGAGGTTTTATTTTGTTTTAATAAAGCCTAGGCCCTATAAAAACTTCATCCTTTAAACATTGGCGCCTCTCTCATTCATATTTTATTAGTTGCATAGCATATACAGTACTGAGACACTATAATCATATTCTTAGCAACTTTTGATTGATTGATTAATTGATTTGATCCTCCTTTACATGTGGTTTTCTATGGATTACATCAATAGTAATGGTGGATTGGATTCAGTTTTTGGTCATTTTCTAAAATGGGGTGGTATCGTAATTACCAGTTTATGGTATGAATATATCTTAAAATTTCAACAAATATTATGTAACCTAAATGCCTTCTATTATAAGCTTAACCCCACTAGAAATCATCATTATTCCCCTTCCACCTCAGCAAGTTGGTACAACGTGGCCCCATGCAAAAATAATGCTCAAACACAAATTAACCAATTAATAGATGGCATATGTGCCACACATACAATCAAGATTGTTATTTCTTTCAATAACTTGATGAAGATTTTCTTGATGAGAGAGAGAGAGAGTACAATTCGATATCACATGATATGTGCATATCTATGCATAAATGGCATTTAAATTTATGTGATTCTTTCTCTTAGAACATTAGGTTTTGTGAATTTCTGGCCTAATTTACATTTTTCATATAATTTTTCTTAGTTGCATAGCGAATATTAGTTGAGAAGTCATCATCCTAAGGACGTAAGAAATGCTTCCTTGAGACTTTAACCACTTCTCCTATCCATTCTTCTCTAAGTTTTACAATAGAATGAGAGAGGTTGAGAGTAGTGTATTAGCATTCCACTGAGGGGTCTGGTCCAATTAAAATCAGCTTGATAGATCATCAAATAGGATTTCATGAATAAATAAATAAATAAAATTTTTAAAAAATAAAATATTATATAAAACTAAACAAGATTGCCCAAACTTGTTTTGGCATGTCCAACCAGTCAAAACCAGTTAAAATTGTCCTTAACTGATTTTTTAATATATCTAACTTTTTGCTTTGGACAAAAGAGGACCAAGCGTTGTCAAGGGCCTAACGGCTAGTCCAATCCAGTCTTGATAATTATTATTGCTATGCATTTCCCTCGTTGTGCATGCCTTACAATGTCCCGTATTCTGGCACGCGGAAGTCCCTTTCTACATTGTATTAATGACCATAATACACCCATTTTATTAATTATTAAATTCCATATCTTTATAGGTAAAGGTTTTGTATGTAGTGGTGTGTGTAGTTTCCAAACAGTAAAGTGCAGGTCATCTCAATCGTCTGTTGTCAACAATGGATGGTCAAGACAATGATCCTGCTTCAAAGCCAATATTGAGTAGAGGCACGATTCAAATCCGCCACTGTAGCTTAACAGTAAACTGTAATGCACCACAACATATTTTTCCACATGTAAAATTCCTTTAGGCAGGTAATTTTTAATACTTTTCCTTTATTTGACTGAATTTTTTTAATCTTTCAAAGAGATTACCTTTAGTTTCTTGAAAATTTATCTCTGCAATTTCCCCCGTGCTGAGAAATACAATTTTTGGATATTTTTTGTATTTGTTTCAAATTTCCAAGAAGCACATCGAGAATCTTCTATATGAGGCATAAGTTAGGAATTCAACTATAATTTTTGTTTTTTTTGGGGCTTGTCTTTGTTTATATTTAACATAATCATTTTTTGAAAGTTTTTATCTTCCATTATTATGTAAATTCTAACTAGATTTGGATGCCAAAAGGGTTTGATTTTATTGGGAAATTGCACAAGCAACCTAATGTTCTCAAAATTGCCTACATATACTAGTTTTAATGGATGCTTCACATTCCACACAGGAGGACATGCTTTGAGGAACCTCAACCATCAAATGGAACCCAACAATAACAATGATTGACGTTTTTGGCGATATTAATTAGGTAGAGCTATTATTTATTGGAAAAGTATAGGAGGAGACCATTTACTTTAAGTACAAATAGCACTTTTGTGTGTTAGATTTTAAATTGGATGGTTGTAATTATGTTATTCATTAGACTCGGAGTTAAAAAAAAAAAAATCTCGAAGTTTTTAACATACACCGAATCCATCCAATTTGATATCTAATGACCACGAGTGATTGTGTCTTCCTTGTAACAATGATAAATAGCCTCATAGTATATAACCCCTTATTTATTTATTTTATATCTATATGAGGCATCATACTCATTTTCTATCTTATACGATTTGGTCACCCTCCATAAAAATATTATTGCCATTTCCAAATTATGGTGGGTTCTTTGTTTAATTTATCAAATATTGAGGACCCAACTTTGATATGTGAACCGTTGAATGGACTTGGAAAGGCCTCTCCTTCAAAATTAGAAATTTATGATTGTTAAAGTAAGATTAGTATAATTATATGGAATGCAGAACATAGAAATGGTTTAGATTGAGGAAAAGTACGCAACTTAGGAGAAGCTTTACAATAAGTTCTAATTTTAAACATTAATGTTATCTTTAGAAATCTAATTTGGGCAAAAAATGTTGACTAGTTAGAGAATCAGGAGGGAATACTCCAGGCACCAGTCAATTTAAAATTTTCTATAGTGGGTTTGTCCCATAATTTCTGTTTTGATAATCAAGAAGGACTTTGGGGGCAAAAATTTGACACATGAAAAATAGACCACATTTATTTCTATTATTTTTGGAAAATTCTCAATAGAATGCAGCTTTTTTGGTTTTTATCAGTTTGGATAATGCTCAATCTTAAAGAAAGAAGAGATGAAGAAGGTATGTGTTTGTGTAAGTGTATGTGTGAGAGAAGAGGGAGAGAGACACAGATAAGGAGAGCCTGTGCCTGTGTTTGAGTCTTAGAGAGAGAGAGGGGTTGAGGGTTCACATCTAGGCCATTAGTGTGAAGCATGCAAATTGTAACAGTCTTTTTTAACAGAACAATTTTTTGGGGTTGCTTCAAAGTTCTGTTAAGCCTCAATTTCTCATACAATCCTTAAAATTCACGATTTTACTGCAAAAATGTCCCCTTTTTCTAAACTTTCCTCTTCTAATTATAAGTGGGCCTTGAATGAATGAACGAAATCCCACCTTCATTTTGTCCTTTTCTTCTCTTACAAAAAAAGACAAAAAAAAAGAGAAAAAGAAAAAGAAAAAGAGGTGGCAATGAAATTTAAACCTAAAAGATTTCCTACTCCCATGGGAGTATAGTATCCATTTACTCCCTTGTGAAAAACACACGCCATGAATATAATTTAGATCTCAAATTATGGGTTGTAATCTCTACAGCCTCTAGACTAATCTTAATAATTCTTATGTTGTTCTAAGTATCACAGAACTCTTCAAAATTTGTTTCTTATGAAAATAATCATCTAGTAATTCTTATGTTGTTCCCAAAATTTTAGGCTAAAAAATAAATGATTTGAGGATGGGATTTTTACAGTATAATCCCGCAGGACCATAGTATATGTGCTCAAATTTGAAACCTCTAAATGGGCTCAGAGATCCGCAGCTTTTTCCTTTTTGTCACCTTTTATTGGGTCATCATGCCACCCTCTCCTAAAACCGCATTAAATTCACCAAGTACCCCTTCTGAACTCTCAGCTTTATAGATCAGAGTCCCGCCTCTCTCTCTCTCTCTAGAGAAAGGTTCTGCCATATCTGAAGTCTCAGTTTCTCTCACTTCAGTCCCCCCTATAACTCATTAGAATCACTCTGTCTCTGGAGAGCTTCTTGTTTTTATTACCATCTCTATATCTCTCTAGAGTTTCTTTTTTCTTCAGAAGTCCTCCTCTCTTTATATGTATCTCTCTCTATCTATAGGTTTTTTTAATGGTTTACCAAGTCCACATAACTCTTACTTGAATCTCTAACTTGGTGCACTATTTTATACATTGGTGGCCTCTCAAGGAGGCCTTGCAGTGGTGAAAAGAAGGGCATGGGCCACCATTCCTGCTGCAACAAACAAAAGGTCAGGAGGGGCCTATGGTCCCCTGAAGAAGATGAGAAACTCATCAATCACATTGCAACCTATGGCCATGGATGCTGGAGCTCCGTACCCAGACAGGCTGGTACTATACTCCTAAGAGAATCTCATTCTCTCTCTCTCTCTGACTTTTATTTTGCATAGGCCTATTCTTGCCTCTCTGCCATTAACTCATCTGCTCTCCTTCTTTTGAGTCAGGCCTTCAGAGATGTGGTAAAAGCTGCAGGTTAAGGTGGATTAATTACTTGAGACCTGATTTAAAGAGAGGCAACTTTTCTCCTGAAGAAGAGTCTCTCATCATTGACCTCCACAGAATGCTTGGAAACAGGTCCCTTCACCATTTGTTGTTCTTTGTTATAATATTATTACTTGTACCAGTAGCGTTGTCATTGCAATTTAGCAATATTGTGTCGTAAACTTTGTAATAGTGGGAAGAATCTTATTATTATTGTGATTATTTCAGTGACACAAGTATTAAAATTTTCCAGTAATAATGATAAATTATCAATATTACTGTGCTAGTCAGTACTAATAGCATTGTTGTTATAAGTACTGATATTGGTTTTTAGTAATGAAATAAAAATAACAATAAATATTGGTATTGCTGTTATTGTGCTGGATTACTATTTCCACCATTGTTTCTATTTTTCCTTTTATTGGTTCCTTTTTTAGTTTTATCTTTTTATGGGTTCTAACAGGTGGGCTCAGATAGCCAAGCATCTTCCAGGAAGAACAGACAATGAAGTGAAGAACTTTTGGAACTCATGCATTAAGAAGAAGCTGGTGTCACAGGTTGTAGAGCCAGCTTTTCCTAGTGACTCCAAAGTCATAGCTTATTATAACCAAGATATTACTCCATTTTTGAGCTCAAACCCTAACCTGATGTGCACCCAGGATCAGCTATATATGCCTAATGCTAGTTGTACTCCCAATGGAACAACTGCACCAACAAATGGTGGCCATGGAGATGGCATGGGAATTTACAATTCCCATGATTGGGTCATGTCACAAGGGCCATCAAGGCAAAACATAGATCCATGGCTTGCTAATTATCAAAGCTATGACCATGAAAGCTTAAAGAATCAAAACCCTATTTCAACAACACCCACATCAGACTACACGCATGATCGATTCATGGCTAGTTCTTCCCATGCCCATGATTCCCATGCAATGGCCATTTTGGACCCGACGCAGATGCCGAAGCTCCGCGAATTCATCAACATGGATGAAAGTGCCATGCCATCATCATCATCCACACATGAAGAGGCTGACCATAGCAATTCCAAGGCTCCTTACTTCTCTTCAGCTCCATATGTTGATAGCTTATATGATCCCCGCATGTGCATGGATGATGGCATGGACTATCTAAATACAACCATGGTGTCATCATCATCATCATCTGGGCAACTCCCATTCAACCCCAACTTGCTTTCAAACTGGGAGCCCTAACCCTAGGCCTAGCCCCTTGTCCAATTCTAGGAAGATGTCCATATATGCCTTACTGTGCATATATAGGAATATTCTTTCTTTCTTCCTATGGTGGTGAGTGCATGGAACATTAATTTAGGCAGAGACTGTTCACTACATACGTGTGAAAATCAGGAAACTCAGTTGCAACCATGTGAATGTAAATATGGGCCTACTCAATACTGTAAAATCAGCAGGCCCATGAAAGTTTGAGGCATTTAATTCCCCAGTTTCCAATAATTTCTCTCAATGAATAGCATTGTAGATATGTATTACAGCTATTAGTCCCTAATGCACTTCATTGCATGTGTTTCAAGGGCATCTTATTGGTGCTTTTGTTAGGTAAGTTTCATTTGGAGGATTCTAATGTGATTGTGTGAGAATGAAGGGAATTGGGTCCTAGAGAGAATGCATGGTTTCTTAAGGAAGGGGTTTCAAAATGTCATGGAGGTGAGATAACTTAGTAATCAAGGAATTTGAGTCATCTTGTTGGATCTTGAAGACTAGCCTCTAAAAGGCTCAAGCATTGCCTCATAAAGCTGTTAATAATAATAACCAATGCAACACCTAACAATAAGAATTGTGCTACTAGTAGTCATTAGTGCTCTTTTGGATAGTTAACATAGACAAATTTTTCTTTTTCTTTTGTTTTTTTGGTTGGGGGGGGGGGGGGGGGGGGGGGTTTTGTTAATATGCCCTTTAGCACTCATGACATGCATAGCAAGTAATTAACATTTGTGGAAAAATCATATAATTTTACGAAATAAAAATTAATTTTAAAAATTATGGGAACCCCATTGTTTCTTCAAGGCAATATTGTGTAGAGTTCATCGGGCAGAACTTTTTGAGTGAGGAATCAAAAGCCATAAAAGCCCCAACCCTAAGGGCCATCACTGTTGTATCAAAATGATGGAAATGCCCTTTGAGTCATTATTGTGCCCAGTTTACAAAAAGCTTCTTTGTGGCACTAGGGACTGTATATTAGCATGCTTTTGCTGTACCACATATAATCTCGAACATCCTCTATTGAGTACTGATTGTGGAGATTGCATGTAGTAGTACACCATTACCAAAGTACATGGAACATGTTAAGTATTCTCTTCTCAATTTTGTATCATAACATAGTACAATTTCATAAGCACAAACCCTCTCAATTTCATTCATTAAATATTGTCTTAAGTGAAAGCATACTACATGCATTATAAGTATAGTATATATATATACACATAGTACAGGTCTGCCAATCTCAATTGCCCGAATCAGAGACCGACAGTGGATAAGTCTATTCATCTTCACCTTCTATCATTCAGGTCGACCGGATTTTTCCGTTGAGTCAAAATGACCAAAATGTGCTTCGAGCACATTATGATGCCTCTTTTCTCCTTTTCCTTTTTCCTCGAATCCATTACTTTGCCCGACGCGTGGTCTTAAACGCATTTTCAAAGCTGCATGCTGGCAAAGTGAAGAAAATGCCTCCAAAAGGCGCAATGTATGGTAGTAATTTGTTACTATATACAACATTTAATCTCCTCCATCCATTAGTAGTATGGATTTTTGTAGATTGCACGTACTTTTTGTGAAGATTGCATGCATTACACCATTAGCACGCTACATGTAACATCTAACACAGTACAGGTTCCAAAGCTTGATTTTACTAGCATGCTACATGTAACATGTAACACAGTACAGCTTCCAAAGCACTAAGTAGTAAAATGTTGCATGACCAAAGTCCCACTAATGCCATTTCATGCATGAGCATTGCTTTTAGGGAAAGCATAGTACACTCGCTACAATACAGTACATGTATATGATTAGCTTGTCTCAACAGTCCGACTTTTTGATAGGACAGTGGAGAAACCATCATCTCTGCCGTGCATCATTGACAAAGACCCTGAAGATGAGCCTATGCTAGCACAGTAGCACACTGTGTTGTATTTCTGAACATGGTAGCACACTGTATTATTGTAAGTTTTTAATAGACTTGTAAAAGCCACTCATACAAATTGCTTGATGGCACATTAAAGTCCGAATGAATTCAAACTTTCAAATTATCTTCTAGGGAATCATTCATATCCGGGTGTTTAGTACTTAATAGACTTCTAGATAGAATAGCATATGAACTTATCCATATTAAAGGATCAAAATGCCCTACAAAACTTCCTCATAGGCCCATTTTGAATTATGATTAGGTACCCAAAGGGCAAGGACAAAAATCAATGTTGGTTAAGTAGAGACCCATCTTGAAATTGGCTATTTTTCTCTTGTTTTTATTTAAGTCCTAAAATACCCAAATCCGTAGGGAATTCCTATATGCCCATAGGCACCAGACAATCTTAATAAATCCTACTTTGCCATTCCTATAGTCCTTGATCCCTTGAACCACGGTTCAGACCTTTTAGAAACCCTAAGAAATATCCTATACTTCCTAAACACCTAGAAAGTTATCCTAAAACCCTAAGAGATAGAAAACCAAGTTTAAGATAGATTTCGAGATCAAGATTGGATGAAGATCCACTGAAGAACAAGATAAAATCACAAAGAAATGTTGCCTAGATGATAGGGGGTCTAGTATTTGACCCAAAACCCCCTTGAAATGATGGATGTTCTATTGTCTAAGCCTTGTAGAGCCAAACCAATGTTATCAAATTCGCTTTGCTCCTACCAAAGAGCCCGAAGCTTTTGGATTTTAGGCCTAGACAGAGGCAAAGAGAAGCTCGATGTTGCCACTTCGGTCAAATTCTTGCTGCTTTGGACCGCTTCATTTAGATCTGCTTCGTGCAAATTCGGCCATGCTTCAGCCTCTTCAGCCCAAGCAAAGAAATATCTATATAGAAGTACTTGTTATTTTTATTTATTATTTTTTTAAAAAAAAATCATTAATTTTATAAATTGGTGTTATCGCTTTGGTCAGATGCGGTCAAATTCATATATATATATGTCAATGTTACAGACCACGATTGCCTTGTATGTCAATGTTACAGACCACGATTGCCTTGTATGTCAATGTTACAGACCACGATTGCCTTGTATACGACCAAAGCAGAATACGTGTTTCTTATTGGAGCAGTGAGATAAATCATTTGGATTAAAAGAATTGTAAGTAATTTGAACTTAAAATTGTAACTAATTTGAACTTACAACAAGATGACACTATTATATATTATGATAGTCAAAGTGCAATATAGTTGGTGAACTACCAGGTCTATAATGTGAGATGACGCATATTGATGTTATGTACAATTTTATCTATGAGACGATAGCTAAGGTGGTATCTTATAACTGAAGATTGACACCACGAAGAATATTAAAAATACGTTTATAAAGTCAGTTCAATTATAGATTGAACTTGATTAATGCATTGCCAAGATGAGCACCCTTAGTGTATAAGAAAGCTAAATGGAGCATATTTAAGTCAAAGCGGAGATTTGTTTGAGACGTAGTAAATCCCAATAAATCAACTCTCATTGAGGTTATTAGGTTTCCTAGGGTTTTAGGATTTGATTCCCCAGTAGTGATAACGAGTAAGTTTCCGATTTTGAGGGTTATAGATCCTTGAAAATTGGAAACTAGTATCTTCACATGGTTGACTTTCACGGAAGTAGGACACCGTGATTACCTTTAGGGTTTACCTTTTTTCTCTATAATAGGTGTTATTTCCAAAAAGAGCATTATTTGACAAACAATTATTATTTGGGTCTGATCGTACTTCTCATTGGATTTGGTGACGAGCATTATTTTCTTTTGCATTTGGTTTCTTGGAGGATGTTATTATATAACTTGATCGCCATAATCCCTGGTGGCATTATGACATTGGCTTTATACAATAGGTTTTTGGATATAATAGTTTCTTGGATTATTGAGGGTACTATGTTTGATTATATAGATTTATACATTTCAGTTCACATGTGGAACCATGTCTCTTTTTGTTATTTTGGTTTATAGTGTTTATGACTTCATTAGTGAGGTTGTCAGTTTTGTATGTTCTCAATGGATTTGATTTATTTTGTGCTCGGTTTATTTGAGCGCAATAATTAACTTAATTTATTTTTTGAACTATTTTCGTACATAAAATACCAATATGCTTTCAATTCCATCTTATGGTCTCTGTCTCTCTCCCCACCTGTAACCCATTGGAATTGTGCTTTGGCGGGGAAAGATAGAAAGTAAAAGCGAGGTAAAAATCAAATATGCGACTAAGTTTGTTGGCCAGTAGTAAAAAATTATAAACCTAAGATATTAAAAAATATAAATAAACCACCAAACATATAGGAAAAAACACATATTATGATAATATTTAATCTGGATATATTGATAGCTAGCTAGCAATGCCTTTATCTAGGTTTCAAATTTTTGAATATTCAAAAAAACTAATTTTAAAAAAAATTACCCTTCTTATTGCAACTTCTAATGTGTCTCCCAATTGAGCAGGATGCCAACTTAGCACACCACTATCCAGAACATAAGGAACACAATCCCATTATTTTGGACAAATGATACCAATTAGCACCATTTTAGCCTTAGAGGAGGAGGGTGGATCCTCTTTTACCACTATTATTTAAAACTTGGATATGTTCTACTTGATTATGGCCATAAAAGATAGGGTTGGTAATGGACTGGCCGGCTTGGCCTTGAAAAACTAGAGCATGGGCCACAAAATACTGTGAGAATATTGGCCCTATGATAGGAGCATGGCAAGCTTCAAGCACATGCCCATCAAGACCAGATCAGGAATAGGCTAAGGCCTTTCAACCCAAGCAGGGCTTGGGCTAGGGGTGGGCCCATTCTTTACCGGCCTTAAGTAAAATAGGGCTGGTAATGGGTTGGGCAGCCTTGCCCGACCCAGTTAGCCCAACATGAAAAACTACGGTCGGGCCATAAAATAGGACCTCAGGACTAGCCTGAGCCATTATGGCTCGAGTCAAGGCCGTGATCGGCCCACCCCTAGTTAGCAATGGGCTAAGGTCGAGCGTGGGACAAGGCCGATTTGGCCTGGTTCAAGCCATCCCTACAGCAACTTAGGCTGAACTTGTACCAAGGCTAGCCTCTTGCGAAACCTAAAGAGCCTATTTTGAGCCCACCTTCAAATAGTATCAAGAAATATGTTTCAATGCGAGAAAGTTTTGTAATAGCCTTAAATTATATTTTCATATTTAGTTATAAAATTAAAGCTTCAAAAATAGTGTAGATCGATCAAATCTATGACAACTTGAAAATCATAAAAA